GAAAGAATCATCTGGGTGAATGCAGAATAGAAAAAGCATCAGTGGTCTGTTTTGGATGTGGAGAAATAGGCCACAAGAAGTCTGTTTGCCCAATAAAGGATGTTACATGTTTTGCTTGTGGTATTACTAGCCACAGGAAGCGCTTCTGTCCTACTCTTACTAGTCAGATGGCGGGAAGTCAAGCTTCTATTCAACAACCGGCGAGAAGTCAAGCTCCTGTTCAACAACTAAAGAGTACTCCAACTAAAAAGGAGGAGGTGCCAAAAGCTAAAGGCCGTGCATTTCAGATTACCACGGAGGAGGCACGTGAAGACCCGAATGTTGTGACTGGTACAATTCTAGTCAGCTCTAGACCTACTCACATCTTATTTGATTCTGGTGCCTCAGATTCTTTTGTGTCTGATGAATTTGCACGTTCTTTTCAAATTGCTTGCTATACACTCGCTCAACCGTTTCATGTAGACACAGCAGGAAGTATATCATTACTTGCTGATAAAGTCTTTAAAGATTGTGTCATAGAAATCGAAGGTTATAATTTTCTTGCTAACCTGATCCCTATCTCCTTGCCCAACTTTGATATTATTCTCGGCATGGATTGCTTGTCAATGCACCGTGCAGAACTCTTGTGCTATGAGAAGATAATACGCATTCCTATTGAAGGGGAGGATCCGATTTATGTCTACGGTGAACAAAGAATTAAAATCTTGAAAATAATCTCTTTCTTAAAAGCTCGTAAGTTTGTATCGAAAGGGTGTTCTACCTATCTGGCCTATACAGTTGATATCTCAAAAGAGGGGAAGAAAACTGTAAATGATGTTCCCGTTGTTAATGAATATCCTGATGTTTTCCCCGATAATTTGCCTAGACTTCCTCCGGATAGGCACGTAGAATTCCGAATTGACCTTGTGCCCGGTGTTGCTCCGATTGCAAAGACTCTTTATCGTCTTGCGCCAGCTGAGATGAAGGAAATGATGATCCAAACTGCAGGAATTACTTGACAAAGGCTTTATTCGATCGAGTACCTCTCCTTGGGGTGCTCCAGTATTGTTTTTCAAGAAGAAAGACGGTTCGATGAGAATGTGTATTGATTACCGTGAGCTAAATAAGGTAACTATCAAGAACAAGTACCCACTACCTCGCATTGACGATTTGTTTGATCAACTTCGGGGTGTTAGCTATTTCTCGAAGAGATTTTGAGATCTGGCTATCATCAGTTGAAAGTACACGAGCAGGATGTTCCGAAGACTGCTTTACGTACTCGTTATGGGAATTTTGAATTCATTGTCATGCCATTCGGTTTGACAAATGCTCCTGCTGTATTCATGGATATGATGAATCGGGTATGCCGTCCAATGCTCGATAAATCTGTCATCGTATTCATTGATGATATTCTAATCTATTCCAGGTCGGAAGCTGATCATGCCATTCATATTCGTGAAATATTAGAACTTCTTCGAAAGGAGAAATTATATGCTAAATTCTCGAAATGTGAATTTTGGCTTCGCCAAGTTCAATTTCTCGGCCATGTGATTTCTGGTGACGGTATATCCGTAGATCCTATCAAAATCGAAGCCATTCAGAATTGGGAAGCGCCTCGTAATGCTTCTGAAATTCGTAGTTTCTTGGGTCTCGCAGGATATTACCGAAGGTTCATTAAAGATTTTTCGCATATAGCTGTACCTCTCATGGGTCTTACACGAAAGGAAGCAAAGTTCAAATGGGGTGAAGCCCAAGATAAAACTTTCTCAACTTTATAAGATCTTTTGACTCATGCTCAGATCTTGTCACTTCCAGAAGGTGATAATGATTTTTCTGTGTATAGCGACGCTTCAAGATTGGGACTAGGTTGCGTGTTGATGCAGCATGGTAAAGTAATAACATATGCCTCAAGACAACTAAAAGAGTATGAAAAGAATTATCCCACCCATGACCTCGAACTCGCTGCAGTGGTATTTACCCTAAAACTTTGGAGACATTATCTTTTTGGTACAAAATGCCAATTGTTTACCGACCACAAAAGTCTCAAGTATATATATTCAGTCAACAAACTTTGAATATGAGACAACAACGAGCCATGGAGCTGATCAAAGACTATGACTGTGAAATCGTATATCATCCTGGAAAGGCCAATGTAGTTGCTGATGCACTTAGCAGGAAGGTTTATCGTAATAGTGTGTGTTATGTTATTACTCACACTACAGTAAAGTTCACTATTCTTGATGAACTAGAGAAATGGCAAGTAGAGGCCTTAAAGCCAGAAAATGTGATGAAGGAAGGGATGGTACATTATGCTGATATTTTGTTTGATGATCCACGTGGACTGAAAGTATTTAAAAATCGGCTATGGATTCCAAAGATGGGTGGATTAAGACAGAAGATTTTAGATGAAGCCCATATGTCCAAGCTGTCAATACATCCTGGTACAAGTAAAATGTACTATGATGTACGAGCTGATTATTGGTGGCCTGGATTAAAGAGAGACATTGGAAGATACGTGCAAGAATGCTTAGTATGCTTACAAGTCAAAGCGGAACACTAAAAGCCATACGGGAGCCCAAAAGGTATTAACGTTCCTATGTGGAAATGGGAAGAGTTGTCCATGGATTTTATTACCAAATTTCCAAAGACTGCAAGACAGAACGATAACATTTCGGTAATTGGTGACCGACTGACTAGGAGTGCACATTTTCTTGCCATGCGTGAAACAACCCCAATGGAGAAATATGCACAAGTATACTTAGATGAAATCATTGCGAGACATGGCGTGCCACTAAAGATTATTTACGATCGTGATACTCGCTTCACTTCTCATTTTTGGGCTAGTATGCAATGTGAATTGGGATCTCGGATTGCTCTCAGCACAACTTATCATCCCCAGACAAACGATCAGACGGAGAGAACAATCCAAACAGTAGAAGATATGCTTCGTGCATGCGTCTTGGAGTTCGGTGGTAACTGGGATAAGTATTTACCTCTTGTCGAATTTTCATATAATAACAGTTACCACGCCTCAATCAAAATGCCACCATATGAAGCACTATATGGACGTAAATGCCGTACTCCATTATGTTGGCGTGATGTAGGACAGAAAATCCTTGGAGGCCCTAAAATGATTCAAGACACCACTGACAACATTCAAATTGTACGAGAATGAATGAAAGCGGCCCAGGATCGACAAAAGTCCTATGCAGAAAAGAGAAGACGACCCATAGAATTCCAGGTGGGTGATTTTGTAATGTTGAAGGTGTCCCCATGGAATGCGATTTGGCCCGTTAACGGACTTTTCCTGTCGCGGCCCGTTAAAAATATAACTTTAACAATAAATCAAAATTAGCCGACGGAGTCTAAACGAAAGTTATAGAGTATCATCTCACCTACGCGTGGATATAAAGAACGTCAAAACGGAGCTCGTATGCAAAAGATATAAATTTTAGAAGTTTGATAAATCAAAGTACGCCCAGCGTACATGAGTACGCCCAACGTACATGAGTACGCCCAACGTACTCGTGTAAGTGCTCCGGAGTTCGTCACCCTCCCTATTCCTTCCCATGAGTGCCACGTGTCGTAGGCTTGACACGTCAGATGTAACACATCACGCTACGCGCAGCGTACTCGGTGTACGCCAAGCATACTGAGCCGCAATGCATTACGCCCCGCGTAATGGAGTGTACACCCAACAAAGAGATGCGCGAGGCAGTACGCCCCGCGTACCAAGGAATTACGCCCAACGTAATCAGGTGCTTCGGTCCCCTATAAATAGGATGTCAGGCTGCCCGATTTAAGGTTACGGAATTTACTCTTTTACACCCCCAAATCTCTCTAAAACTACCCTAACCCCCCCCCCCCCCCCCCCCCCCCCCCGCCCGAAGCCCAGGGAACATCCCCGACACCCAAAACAAGTCCCGACGCTCCGAAAGCCTGAGAAAATAATCTTTTCAAGTTGAAACTCTGCCCGCACAAGGCCCAGTTTTCAACTAAAATCCCCGGTTTCATCAAAAAAAGTCGTTTTTAAAGGCAAAGTGCTGCCCAAATTATCATTTATTCCTTTGGTTATTTCACAGTGAGTTCAATGTAGGGACAATTGTATGTTATGTGTTATATGTTCAATGTGCTTTCCTGTGTTATTATGATAATGAGCTATACCTTAGACCATAAAGTGTATGACATAAGCATCACTTGGGTACAGGTATGTAGCCTTTGGCCATGAAGTGTATGACATAAGCATCACTTTGGCATTGACAGAATGCTAAGATAGGGCTAAAAGCCTGTGTATTCTAGCAAAATGATATTCTGAAATTGTATTTTTTTTTTGCGCCACTTGGGCTAAAGTCTTATTGATGTATATCAAGTATTGAAATTGTTGTTTCTCATTGATTGTAAATCTTTGAATCAGATCATCTGTTGATATGGAAAGCCTGTCATATGATACACATATACCTTTGTTGTTCTTTGTCCCTCTTTGTTTTAGCCATATTGATGTATATCACTACAAGAAAAAGACCCTTTTACGACGTGCAAACCACGACACTCATTGATTTATGTTACGCAAAAGAGAGTGACATTAAAAAACTGTCATCTCTTCAAAATATTTGAGGATTTAGGTCATGCATTATTGCGTGCCCTTAAATTAGTGTCTCATGTAAAAAAACTTAAAAACATGGAGGGCACTTTATTTAAAATGTGCGTCCTCTGTGAATGTCGCTTTATGTTTTTTACTCAAAACACGCGTTCTTGAGGAAATCCTCTTAAAATTCTAAAAATTTTAAATACTCCGCTTCAAGATCTCCCTTCGTTCTCTTCTTCCCTTCTCTCTTCAAACCCTAATCGCGATACCATCTCTGCTATACACCGACAACTCATATAATTGTTCTATAATTATTTTCTTAAAAAATCTCGTTCATTCCTGAAGATCACAAAATGGAGACCAGCAACTAGGGCTTTTGTACGTGCTCCCAAAGACGAACGTCGCAGAGCTAGCAATTGGGGTTCTGCGACTCCTCATGCTCACAACCGGCGATATAGTGTTCCTCATCCTCTCCTCTTCCCATCAACCCTACTTTTCGACAATATAATTGCTAAGAATCATTTAGGGTTTGTTAATTGGTAATAAACATTTTGTCCAGGTATGGAGACAATGGAACAAGGGAGGAGATCTCCTTGTCAATTGGACCTACCGGTTCAACCACCTCTAATCAACGCCTCCACCTTCTAGCATTGCCACCTTCTCATATCTTTCCCCTCCACCAGGTATTTTCGTTTCTCTCCTCCACCAGATTAAGATTGACCAAGAGGTGAAGGGGCCAACCGAAAGAAACCCTAACTCCCTATCGCGTGGTTCAAAACACAGACAAATGGGCGATTTAGGGTCATCGAGGATGATGCTTCCATTTCTCACAGATCTGAGTAACCATTTGATTTCTATGGTTAATGATATATATATAAGGTTTCAATATTTATCCCTTTAATTTCTCCTTTTACTTTATATCGTGGATTAACTCATTTTTTCTATATAAGAACTAGCTTTGCGTATAGAAAAAATGTCTTACGCATGATCAATGAGCCAACAGCAGCTGCAATTGCTTATGGTGTAGGCAATATGTCAAGTTTCAATAAGAAAAAGAATGTTCTTGTTTTTGATCTTGGTGGTGGCACTTTTGATGTTTCACTTCTCACCATTTCCAAAAACAAAAAATAGTCAAACATGGCATTTAAACTGGTTGCAGAGTTTTTGACAATTGATTCCCCTAAATGAACTTTGCATCTTATGTATAGAAGAGGTTATAAATAACTAATAATATAGAAAATGAATTCTTTCCTTCTTGTCACTAATATTAAACTGCAGGTATGATGGTGGGCTGTTTGGATAAGATTAATCCAATAAAAATATAACAAATGAATTCTTTCCTTCTTGTCACTAATAAACACAAAGCTAGTTCTTATATAGAAAAAATGAGTTAAGCCTATTTCTATGGTTAACAGGTGCTGTTTCTTTTTGAATTAAGGGCTGTTTCTTTTGGGACTGTTTACAAGGGCTATATTGATGAGAATGTTCGGGTTGGTCTCAAATCTCTTCCTGTTTCTGTTAAGGTTCTCAACAAGGAGGGTCTTCAAGGCCACAGAGAATGGCTTGTAAGCTCCTGTAGTTCTCTGTCCTTGCAGCAACTAGTTCTTTGTTTTGTTTTATCTTCCTTATACCATTCTAATCTATATCTGTAATGGCGTTTTGTGTTGTAGACTGAAGTTAATTTCCTTGGTCAGCCCAGACATCCCAATTTGGTGAAATTGATTGGGTATTGCTGTGAAGATGATCACAGATTGCTTGTTTATGTGAGAGAAGGCGTTTTCAACAGTGGGGACACCAGACTATATTGCCCCTGATCTGAAGTGTTTTTGAAGAAAGGACATGGGATGGAGTGTGATTGGTTAGTGTTGTATTAGTATTTGCTGAGGATATTTCACAAGATTTTTCTACAACTTTTGTTCTTTTCTTTAAAGCACTAAGTATTAAAAATACATTGTTTTTTATTTTATATATGAATCTTGGATACTTCACAAGATTCTTACATTCCTTTTACTCAATTGTATGTGTACAGCCTGGTAATCTTGCAACCAAGGTGAAAACCGTCTTCACTTGCCTTCTAGACCAAGTTGTTGTTCCATGGATTTATTGATTCTCATGTCCATTTGCTTTTTGGAGGACTCCAGGTTCTAAAATCCCTCACCTTCTTCATATAATATATATATATATATATATATATATATATATATATATATATATATATATATATAACATTTGTGTTTTGTTCTTTTCAGTTTAGGGATAAATGCAAATCATAGCAACATACTTTAATTTATTTGTGCATTTCTTTCATCATTACAACATTATACTTTAAATATATTTATCTTACAAGCCATTAATTGTATTTTGAAAATTCTATTTTTTTCTCATCAAGTCTTAATTTTTAATGTACTTCCAACTATGATATCCTGATATTACACCTCATCATCCTGTAAGAAAAAACTAAATACAAATTATATAAACTCTAATTAAACCCCACTTAATCACATTTAGTCTTTTCAATCTTGACAGGTATGGCTTTCAAGAATGGATGGCCACATGGGATTGGCTAACTCTTTACCTCTAAAATTAGCAGGAGTTACATACAAGTAACATGCAAGATCCAGTTGGTGGAACTATTAGCAGAAATGAAAATGGAGGTATAATAATACTATATATGATTATTATATTCTTGGATTTATTTTGTAAACTCATGTCTTTTGAATCATTATATGCAGAACCTTCAGGCCTTATGATTGATTCTGCAATGAAAGTTGTTCTTTCATGCATTCCGGAAGTTTCTGTTGAAGAAAGAAGACAAGCATTGGATAGAGCTAGTAGGTATGCATTGATGAGGGGTGTCACAACGGTTGTTGATTTTGGAAGATATTTTCCTGGAGCATCACTAGAACATTCATGGGAGGATTTTGAAGTTTTAGTGTCTGAAATGACCATTTTACCCTTACATTCCAACAAATAGTTTACTCAATGTACATCAATTTTAACATAAGAGGATTTTAGAGGCAAGGGAAAATAAAATAGTTTAATGGTTAAATCAATAAAATAAAGTGTTGACTTTCTTGTTAATTTCAGATGTTTACAAATGGGCTGATTTATCAGGAAGAATGATGATTAGGGTTTGCCTTTTCTTTCCAATGCCAACATGGTCACGTTTGCTTGTATGACTTTACTTGACTACTAACTACTTCATGATAATTTTTCTATGTTTACGTTTTCTAATGAATTAAATGTTAACATTAAATTTGATGTTCTTGTTTTCTTTTTAGGATATAATACAAAAAACAGGACGTAGGCTGAGCCAGTGGATATTCTTAGGTGGTGTTAAAGCCTTTTCTGATGGATCCTTAGGATCTAACAGTGCACTTTTTCACAAGGTGTAAATAAATTTTATTTTTTTCATTGTTTTCTAACTTATTGTTATTAAATCAATATTATTTATGAGATAACATTTCTTTCATGTTTCTTGTAGCCATATGTTGATGAGCCTTGGAATATTGGCCTCCAAGTTACAGATATGGAAAGCTTATCTAATATGACTGTTCAATCTGACAAATATGGCCTCCAAGTATTTTTTTTTATTTTTTTCATTTATATTTAAAAATGTGGTTGTAAATATGTAAAATAACTTACTAGTTGAGCAATTTTTTCATCAGGTTGCTATTAATGCTATTGGAGATAAGGCCAATGACTTGATCTTGGATAGGTATAAATCAATTGTCTCAACATTTGAGTCATGGAAGTGCAGCCCAGTTTGGTGAACAAGGGATTGTTGCTTCAGTGATATTATATCATAGCTTGTTCAAGTCATTGTTCATATTCATAAAATTACTTCCCTAGACCAATTTTACTACCTACAGAAACTTTCATCTGATAGAATTTTGTTGTTTACATGTTAACAGAGTAATTGTGTCCTTGAATTCTGTATGATCATGAGCCTCTAAATAGAAAGTTCAAGCACTTTATATTCTTGTCAAGTGACATTAGATCACTGACTTCTTAATTTACAATCTGGATACTATAGGCTGAGACTGACAGGGAAGCAGGGGGAAACAAGGGTGTTTCTGACAAGCAAATCCGTTTAAAGATTTTCTCTCCTAACTCTAGTTGATTTACCTGGCATAACAAAAGTTCCTGTGGGTTATCAGCCCTCTTATATTGAAGCTCACATCAGAACAATGATAATGTCATACATTAAGACTCCCAGCTGTTTAATTATTGCTGTGACACCAGCAAATTCAGAACTTGCCAACTCACACGCCCTTCAGATTGCTGGAAATGCTGATCCAGATGGTATTTGACTCCATGCTAATGTAACTTATGATATCATAATCATCTCTTTAAAATGATATTATCCTCTTTATTTTTATAGGTTACCGAACAATTGGTGTGATAACAAAGGTGCAATATACATAAACCCAAGTTTTCATTTTTAGTCATTCCGTAATCCTATCTGTTGTCTGTTGTTAGTCATTTTTGACATGTTGTATCCTATTCATTTTATTTAGTTGGACATCATGGATAGAGGTACAGATGCCCGTAACGTTTTGCTTGGAAAAGTTATTCCCCTAAGACTTGGTTATGTGGGTGTTGTAAATCGTAGTCAAGAGGTAATATTTTTCTTCCTTCAACACTAAAAAACCAAACTTTATTATTATAGATGCACTTGTGGGGCTTTTCTTGTGTTATTTAATCTCACAACTTATATACAATATTGTTAAATAGGATATTATGCTTAATCGGACAATTAAAGATGCACTTGTGCTGAGGAGAAGTTCTTTTGCAGTCGTCCGGTATGACTACTTTTTTACTTTATTTATTTATTTACTTATATATAAATTAACAATTTAGCATTGATGAGATCTTTAGTTAATTTAACAATTTATAGTGCAGGTTTATAATGAGCTTGCTAATCGTTATGGTGTGCCTCAACTAGCAAAGAAGCTGAACCAGGTATTGTGAGTGTTTGAAGAATCTTTTTTTTACCCTTGAACAATGTGATATTTGTTAAAAGATGCTATAACATAATATTTATTTGTTTCTTTTGATTTGCAGATTTTGGTGCAACATATCAAAACAGTGCTACCAGGGTTGAAGTCTCGCATTTTAGTGCTACAATAGTTTCAGGGTAATTTAAGTACAAGATTTATTTCAAGGGTAATAAAGAAGTTTGTCTACACTCTACACTATAGACACCATGTGGGACCCCCACATAGAAATAAAATAAAATATATTACTATTATGGGTTAAAAATAAAATACATTAAAGAAATATATGAATACATTGCTATTATGGTAAAAAAAAAAGTAAAATAAAGTACATTGCTTGACAGCCAGATCATTTGCTGGACGATGCTGACTCAGCAATTAGAAAAACCGGGGTAGCGAGGGCGCAGAAAGGATCTTATTTATTTCATACACTCCTCACTAGCAATGCACTTGTTGCATTTGGTTCTGACCTAAAAGTTGTATATGTTGGTAATGATGCCCCTACTCTTTGTTAAACCTCTTGCAAGATCAGTGTCAAATACAATATTTAAGGGTTAGAAACAAGAATCAATTTTCATGATGTTTCTTGATTGTTTTCTACAGGGAATTATACAAAAATAGCATAAGCGACCTAATAGTCTAGCTGGATTAGCTCGATCATCTTCTTGGTTTGATATAAATGAGATATAATGGAAACCAGTAAGATATTTACTTTTATAACCGAATATGTTAAAGAGGGGTTTGTCTGTATAGTAACAGTCTTGTTTTCATAATGCAGGGGTATATGAGTCTTTTGAAACAATATGCATATACCTGGAGAGTGATCAATCTGTTGGGACTGACCCTAATAAGAACTTTTGGGTGAAATACAGAATGGCTGTTTTGAATCAAAAGAATCCTTCCAAGACTGTGTGGAAGGAGTCATCTATTTGTACAAAGACATGGAATAATTATGTGCTTCAGTTTATGAAGGTTTCTGATATGCTTGAAGCAGATGCAGGGTTTCTTGTAAGAGACACAGTTGTTTTTGTTTGTGAAATCTTGGATTGTTGCCCATGGTTCGAGTTTGCTGATCTTGAGGTCAGTAGTCTCTTAATTCCTTATCTTTTTTCATTCTCCTTTTCTTTTTTAGTAAAAAGTTTATCTTTTTTTTAGGTCAGGGCTTGCAGATCCTCTTTTAGGTTCACCTGGAGTTCCAGGAGCTTCAGAGATAAGCTTTTTACCTCAATCAACTATTTACAACTGGAGCTGCAATCATTTCTCAAAGCCTCTTCTTACAGCAACTGGAGCTACAATGGTGAAGTTTATTTTGATATATGTATTTTTCTTTTTGTTTTTCATTTTCAGCTGGTAGCAATCTTCATAATCCAATTGCTCGATGGAAGCAGTCAACCAGCAAGGAGGAGCAAATAGTAAGTGTATTCCTAATATTTTTGTTTATGAAACATAAGAAATGAAATAAAAAAGAAGCTTATTGAGTTTTTTTTCTATATTTTGTTAGAGGCTACTCCAAAATCAGTTTTGAAGCTAATGGGAATTCAAGGGCTTACTCTATTCCACTTAAAGAGTCATCTCCAGGTATATATATATATATATATATATATATATATATATATATATATATATATATATATGACATGTATACATAATCCTGAAATTTCCTATATTTGGCTGAAAGCATGCAGATTAACTAATTTGACATATTAGTGCCTTGCAGCCTCTCAAAGTTCCTGCATTCAGGTTATTCTTTTAGGCAGGAAATTGTCAAAAGAGAATTTAGTCATTGGTTTCTTTTAATTTTGTACATGTTTTGTTTTCTATAATAAATATTATGCAATATTAGCAATGTGTTACATTTACTTACTATTGGAATGATTATTTGTATTTGACATATTAGTGCAATGAATTATCTTTATTGTTTATGGTATTTTATTTTCTATTATGAGACTTTTAATATGTTATTTAATTTGAAAATTAGTAAATCTATCAAATAAAAATATAATTTTAAAAACATTTAAAATTATGACACGCAAAAATGCGTGTCGTTTTCCTTTATGACAGGGGCTTCCTTGATACGCATTGCGTGACATAAACACGCGCGTCGTAAGGTTACGACACGCAAATGCATGTCGTCTTTCTTTATGACAGGGCCTTCCTTGATACACATTGTGTCATAACTGCGCGTCGTAAATGCATGTCATAAATGCGCGTCGTAAATAGACGACGCGCAAAAGCATGTCGTCTCTCGTTATGACAGGGACTTCCTTGACACGTATTTGCATGTCGTAAAAGGCTGTTTTTCTAGTAGTGTATATATATATATATATATATATATATATATATATATATATATATATATATATATATATATATATATGGCATAACGTTGTAACTGTTATTGAACTCACTAAGCGTCGCGCGCTTATCCCTCTCAATGTTTTAATTATTGCAGGTGATAAGCATCCAATATAGTTTTGTACTGGTAGAAGATGTAGAATAGATAATATTATAGCTTTTGTATTTAGTGTATAAATTCCTGGGAAATTATGTATTATATAAAACTTTGTAAAAATCTTAATAGTCGGTTTGTATCCATTCTTTTGTAATAAGACCATATATGTAAAATAAGTTTATGAACATGCATGTAGCATATGTTTTTGAAGTAATAATATTGTAAAGTTTAGAAAGGGGTTCTTTCAATATATATGTAGAAGATCAAGTCAGTTTTACCGTTAGTAGGCCTCATTCACGAAGCCGGTCTATAAGGGGGGTATAAGGTTCTTGCCTATAAAATGACAGCTTAATGGGTGTCCACTCTCACCCACCGCTTCCTTGACTGGTGGAGGGTCGTTAGCCAAACGGCACAATCTTGTTACTTTAGGAAAAATGTAAATATAAAGTAACTAAACCTTTTATAAATTCCCAATCTTAGTTACTTTAGGAAAATGTGAATTTGGTGCTAACCCATGAAATTACACTTTGTACCTTACCAAGTCGTTAGTGGAGCGTGTGTGGTTAACCGGCACACTAACATGGACTAGTAAGAGTGGCAAAGGGTAACTTAATGTTTATCATAGATTGGTGGAGCGCGTGTGGTTAACCGACACATCGATTAGGTGATAAAATTAAGGGTACCAAGTTAATTTGCATGGTTATTAACACCTTGTTTTGTGATCCTCGGCATCCCAGTCACAAACTTGAAGGGCACAATCGAGATAACATGCCATTGAAAAGTTCAATGAATCTCAAAAGAATCTTGGAATTTCAATTCATTAAAACTTAATAATTTATTTCGTTTTTCATGGTGGAAATTGGTGAATCGTCATTCACCTACCTTCAAATATTTTGTAGCTTGGATTACGGCATCCCTCTTCCAAGTCATATAATATTGTGTTGGGTCCTAGACTTAATGTTACATTTGGGTGTCTTATTAAGTATTATTTATCTAATCTAAACTTGTCTTTCTTCTTTTCAGATGTCTTCCAACAATGCTTCTGGCTCAAACCCTACCGGCTCCTTCTCTCTCATGAATCTTTATGGGAGAGTCATCTTTGATGGTTCCAAATTTAATGATTGGATCAGGAACATCAGGATGGTCACTCGTTATGAGGACAAGGAATATGTCCTCGACAAGGAGCTGAAGGAAATTGATGAGTCTTCTGCTACTCTACAGGAAATCACTGACTTTAGGACTCATGAGAGAGATGCCACCAAGGTGGCATGTATCATGTTGGCCACAATGACAGCTGAACTCCAAAAGTTCTATGAGGACTTTTACCCTTTTGAGATGCACATGGACTTGATGGATAGATACCATCAGAGTGCTCGTCAAGAGAGGTATGAAATCATCTCTTCCATGATAACAACCTGAATGAAGGATGGTGAACCCATCACGGGGCACATGCAGAAAATGCAAAGGTTTGTGGACCGTTTGCTGAAGTTAAATGTGAACTTCCCCGAGGAGCTGGCTATTGACATCATACTGCACTCTTTACCTCCATGTTATGATCAGTTCCGAATGACCTATCATATGAACAAGGAGGATGTCACACTCATCAAGCTTCAAGGACTTTTAAAGACCGCCGAAGTGGTCTCAAAGGTAAGTCGGTTGTTACCACTCCTACTCCTACCACCACCCCTGTTCTGGAAATCAGGAAAGGTAAAGGGAAAAATAGGAAGACCCCTTCGAAGGGTACCAAGAGAAAGTCTCTTGATGGCTCCTCTTCGAGTGGAACCAAAGGTGGTTCTGTCACTCCCTCTTCCAACCTGAAGGATGCACAATGCTTCTACTGTCAGGAAAAAGGGAACTGGAAGCGAAGCTGCCCCAAGTACTTGCAGGATCTTAAGGATAGGAAAGTGAAACCCACCCATGCAGGTATTTACACTATATTGTCTAATAACTCACCACATACTAATTCTTGGGTCCTTGATACAGGGTGTGGAATTCACATTTGTTCTCATTTGCAGGGCCTAAAAAGAAGTGAGGATGTGGAGCAGGGGAAGATAAACTTGATCATGGGGAATAAGATAGTTTCACCTGTCACCAATATTGGAGTTTATTCTTTATTGCTTAGTAGTGGATTAGTATTAGATTTTAATAAATGTTGTTACTTGTCTGAAATGGCGAGAAATATTATTTCTTTTCATGGTTTGTACAAACAAGGATTTACTTTTTCATTTGATAATGAATGTGGTGGTATTAATGCTTTTTATAACGTTGTTCTTTATTTTAAAGCATTACCTTGTAATGGTGTATATGAAACTGTGTCAATTGTAGACAACTTAGGAAATAATGTATTGCATATTGATTCTTCCACTAGAAGGCTGGATTCTTGGACTCTTGGAGGCTGGATTCTTGGAGTCATTTGACTTAAAGTCAAATGATAGTTGCGAGTCTTGTTTACTTGGTAAAATGACAAAGTCACCCTTCACTGGTACTTGTGCTAGGGGTGAAGGTTTGTTGTACCTCATACACATAGATGTGTGTGGATCCTTCAGAACCGCCAGAAGGGATGCTAGCCGCTTCTATCTGACTTTTACTGATTATTATAGTAGATATGGCTATATTTACTTAATTAAGCATAAGTTAGAAACCTTTGAAAAGTTCAAAGAGTTTAAACAGGAAGTGGAGAATCAGCTGGGCAGGAACATTAAGATGCTTCGATCCGATCGAGGTGGAGAGTATCTTAGTACAGATTTCCTTGACTATCTTAAGGAATGTGGAATTGTTTCACAATTGACACCTCCCAGGACACCACAGCTTAATGGTGTGGCTGAGAGGCGCAATCGAATTTTGTAGGACATGGTTCGTTCCATGATGAGTCGAGCTTCATTACCAATCTCATTTTGGGGGTATGCCTTATAGACTGCCGCCCATATCCTTAATCTAGTCCCAACTAAAAAGGCTGCCAAAACACCTCATGAGATGTGGACTAGGAAAGCTCACACATTAGACCACATCAAGGTTTGGGGTTGCGAGGCTTTCGTGAGGCGCGAGACTCACGACAAGCTCGAACCTCAAAGTGAGCGATGTATTTTCAGCGGCTACCCACAGAAATCCTTTGGTTACCTCTTCTACAGACCCAGTGAAAATGTGGTCTTTGTGGCAAGGAAAGGAGTCTTTCGTGAGAGAGAATTCATAAGCCAAGGAAATAGTGGGAGGCAAATTGACCTTGAAGAGCTTCATGATTCAAGTGGTGAAGGAACCTCAAACCCTAGCAATCAACCTGAGGAGGAAACTCATGTTGAACCAACTGACGAGTCTGTACCTCTGAGGCGTTCCACTAGAGTTAGAAATCCGCCTGAGCATTATTATGGTTTCCATATTACTGCGGAAGGTGATACATTTATCAGTGATAGTACACTGGTAAATTTGGATGAACCTAACAACTTTAAGGAAGCCATGGCAGGCCCTGAATCTGCCAAATGGAAGGAGGCTATGGACAGCGAGATTCAGTCCATCTATGACAATCAAGTTTGCAACTTGGTTGACAATGTACCGGGTCGTAAGACAGTCGGGTGCAAATGGATCTTCAAGAAGAAGACTGACATGGATGGAAAGTGCACACTTATAAGGCGCGACTGGTTGCGAAGGGCTTCACCCAAACTCAGGGAGTTGACTATGATGAAACCTTCTCACCAGTAGCGAAAATTAAGTCTATTAGGGTTATGCTAGCCATTGTTGCATTTCATGATTATGAAATATGGCAAATGGATGTCAAAACCACTTTCCTTAATGGAAAGTTGGCTGAGGATGTTTACATGAATCACCCAGAGGGTTTTGTCAATGCAAAGTACCCTGATAAAGCGTGTAAGCTTGAGAAATCCATTTATGGATTGAAACAAGCATCTCGCAGCTGGAATCTTTGTTTTGATGAGAAAGTCAAAGAGTTTGGTTTTTCGAGAAGCGAGGATGAGTCCTGTGTATATGTCAGAGCTAGTGGGAGTATAGTTAGCTTTTTGGTACTATATGTGGATTACATACTACTCATAGGAAATGACATCCCAACTTTGTAGGAGATTAAGTCCTGGCTTGGGAAGTGTTTCGCTATGAAGGACCTTGGATAAGCTGCCTATATCCTAGGGATAAGGATATTGAGAGACAGGAGTAAAAGACTAATTGGACTTAGTCAGAGTACCTACTTGGACAAGGTGTTGAAAATGTTGAACATGCAGAATTCCAAGAAAGGTGATTTACCGATCCAAATCAATGCCAAACTGAGCAAAGCTCAGAGTCCGAGTATAGAGGCTGAG